CCAGAATCAGGAAGTTTAATTGGTAATTGAATAGAAAAAAAAACTCTCGGTAAAGAAAAATCGTCGGCAAACAATTTGATTCAAGCATCAACTGAAATATTTCCTCTCGTAAATTGCGTTTCCGCGAAATTTTCAACTAAAAAATAAGAAAAAACGCGCCCTTAAAAGAACTCCAGTCTGTTCTAAATTTTATTGTCGAATTCTCGTGCAAAATCAAAGGTAAGATAACGATGAAAAAAAAACTCCAATTCGCGGTAATTTTTACCATTGAGAATATATTTCCGGGCGCTGCTTATTATAGAAACTCGGAGGGCTGGAAAAGTTAATCCTCCTCTTTTCTTCTTTCGCTAACGTCGCCTGCTTTGATCGCATTTCCGCACAAGAAAATCATGTTTTTCTTGAATCGTAATTGCAACTTGCATTTTCCTTTGATCTGTAATAGATCGCCCGACGAAATACAGAAATGAATCAGATCAGGAATTTACGATATCATATCAAATACACCCTCTCATTCGGATTTTTCCCCGACAAAGAAATCGGTAATAAACTCGAATTTTCACTGGAAAGTAAATAAATAGAAAATATGTTTACTTGGCAGTAGAATCAATTTACGTTGTTGTTATTGTGCTCCTTTGCGATTCGCCAAAGGGCGCAGGTTAAATCCGTTAATTAATCATTGTTTTCGCTTGTATTCTTGGTTTACATAACAAAGTAACAGCCCTGTTAATTAAACACGCTTTGAATTTTATTACAGAAATTTCTAATTAATGCTAGTTGTCTGTAGAATTGTTGTTACTAAATTAGTAGTTAATAAGGAGCAGAATAGTATTTTTGTAAAATGCTAATTAAGTGGATAAGGTTTTAAATACTTCTAAAAAATGTATTTTTTATAATGACTGGCCTAATGAATTTGAACATGAAATGTATTAACAGGGGCTTTAATGTATCCTCGCGGGCTAAACATATATCTAGTTACTGTAGAAATTATTGGCTGTAGGCAGTAGTTAGTAATGGATTCATTAGCAATAAAAAACATGACGTTTTTGTGTTGTAACAGAATCGCAAATGCCATGGAAGAGCTTTTTATCGAATTAATATGAATATATAATATAAGTAAATGTGAGTTTCATTTCAGTGATGTATTCCTATTACATGATTTATTGCAGCTATGGAGCCCATTTTTCTATTAAAATTCATTTTTTGTAGCCACGAAATTTAGCTATTAGAGCACAGTGTAAAAGTAACACCTGTAATGATTATCAACAAAGGATCAAGTGGCGCGTGTACCTGTCGCCTATTAACACGCAATACCGGCGAAATTCTAATCCATATTAATCTGCGCTAAAAAGATCCTGAACATAGTTAAGCACTACACTTAGCTCAGAAACCTAACGTTTAGCTGGAGGTGTTAGGACGAGGTCAGAAACAGTAAGTTTGCTCGCTTAATTCACCAACATATAAAGCCTTCCGGCTAATTTCACATTTCTAACAAAGTTCGGCTTAAAATTCGAAAACTTCGTTGCAAGTTTACAGGAATAGTTGGCAACAAAAATTCGCTCGAAACGTCCAACAGGGCGTTAAACGAGTTCATTGTTATTTTACGAACTATTCCAAATTAGACTCAATTATAACAAATTAGAAGTATATATCCATCGCGCATAACTTTTGCCTGAAATATTCCCTTCAACTATTAGGGAACTCGATTACGCCGAGTAGAGTTAGAACTATCTCGTACACGGCAGTCGCCATTTACATGTACAATTTTGGGAAAGTTCGCCCCTAAACGTCACTTATAGGAAGCCCTTTCCGATATTTCCGAGACACGTCATTCGCAAACTGTCAAGAAGTCGGGCGAGAGAGATCAACCGAACGGGATTAACCCTATAATTGCGGATAGTTTAGGCGCACTGAAAAGGTTACCAGTCTAACGTCCTGAGATCCCGAGGGACGGAGGTCCTTTTTAGACGAGGACTGTTCACGCCCGTCACGTACCAACCGCCGGCGGGCGACGAACCGATTTTTTTATTTACTTAATTCATTTAGTTTACCTTTACACCACCGGGAGGCTTGCATTGCATACCAGAAAATCGATAGTATACAGTGAGTAACTTGTAACAGTTCCTTTTAAGAACGGACGGCCACCTCTAGCATTCTCAAAAAAAACTAAACTGTTATCGTATCGTATTTTCTTGCTTGCTGATTTTTCCCGAAAGTTCAGCGTCTGAAATTGCAACAGGACGCGTTCATATTTAATGCGGATCCGCTGGAAATCTCCTGATGCCGTCTCGGGACGTTTGAAGAGCGCGCCGCGGAATTTATTAATAATTAATGGAGTTCCGAAAGACTGACGGAATGCGGTTTTTGTTTGAGTTGATACTAAAAATGTGTATCATTTATAAAGCGGGTTTATTGGCCGTGAAACTTTTAATCGGCGCTGAGAATTTTATAACCCGCAAACCGATCATAGAAATTTTAAAAATTAATGGCGAGCGATGTGTAAAAAAACAGAGCGTTTTTGGTCGATTTCGTATAGTTGGATGCTGAGTGAGAAAAGAGAAAAATTGTATTGTTAATAGTAGTATAAAAAAAAGCAACTTAAAAAAGTTGGGCTCGTCCGGGATTTGAACCCGGGACCTCCCGCACCCTAAGCGGAAATCATACCCCTAGACCAACGAGCCATGCAAATTGGCTTCACAAATGATCATTTTATAGTAAAATTTAACATACTTTATAATATTTATAAAAAATATTTAATATACTTTTGTATTAATCTTTATTGTGTCTTTTATAAAAATAAATAAAAAAAATTAATAATTAAAAAATTTAAACCATATGTTTTAAATTTAAACATTCATTAATAAAAAAATAAAAAAGGTGCAGTCGTGTATTTTAATTTCTATTATTTGTCAAATAATTCTTGAGTCACATTAATAAAATTATAAAAAAAAAAAAATTGGGCTCGTCCGGGATTTGAACCCGGGACCTCCCGCACCCTAAGCGGAAATCATACCCCTAGACCAACGAGCCGCTGTAAGAAAATCCTTACATGCAGTATTTATTATATAACCTAGCACACTTATGAAAGTATGATGGGTTGCATACATAATTCTCTAATAAAAAATGTTTGTTTACTCGATTATTAAAGCTTAATTTAAAAATGTTAGTATTTCTCGTTTCGATTTATCGTATAATCAGAGGAGATACTACTCAAGCAAAGAGTAAAAAAAAATAAAACTAATGGTTGAAAAATATAAATAAAATGTTTCAACAGGTGAGGCCCATTTAAATAACAATTAATTTCAATAAATTTAAACGCATATTTTAACATTTCAGAACGCTTTACAAATCTCTACTGAACCAAGATAACAAACGATTACAAACCAGCTACTCATCGAGTAAAAAATCTCTAGTTTTTATTAAAAATTCAATTTTCAAACCTTGCTGCAGTTCGCACGTTCTCCAACTGTCGGCAGGAAGACCACCCAATCCTGCTTAGGCCTGAAGCAAAGGCTGCCGGCGAACGGAAACATCGCGATTGACCAGTTCGAATCCGAATGAAAAATCAAAAATCACCGCCGATCAACCCCGAAATTTATTCATAACCGACCACTCTCAAACTCTTCGCGAATCGCAGAGTTTTGCCGACCTGTCACGTTGTTTCTCTGTTTACACACCGCGTAGATGACGCCACTAGATTGCCACCAGTGTTTCACAGAGAGCGCTTTTCCAGCTTCGCCCGGACGAAATTTTCCTGCACGATCCCCCGGGAAATTGCTAGCATTTGTGCGCATATTATGAGAAAAGGCGAGAATTCTATTTCTATGTTAAAGAAAGAAAAATGTATGTATTGTTTGAGAATCGTTAACGATGCAATTGTAGTAATATTATTATTAATTGAAGGTTAAAATGGGAGTTTGAAAGTATTTCCAATAAAAGTTGTGGTAAAACTATTAAGAGTTTCATTCTGAATAAACGTTGTTTAATTGAACAGTTTTTTCTTATTTTTTTATCTAAGAAAATTCGATTGGTAGTATGTAGTTAATATACAGAGTTTCCTGTATGTAGATTAGCAAAAGGAATTTAATAACAGTATTTTATAAATTCTAAAAAAATTGTGTGAAGTAAAAATTAGAGAAATTTGAGTTTTCCTTTCGTCCATTCGTTACGGGCGATTTCCCAAACGCGAAAGTCGACAGGGCATAGCGTGTTTCAGTTTCCCCCTCCGGCATTCCAAAAGGAAAATCGATATAAGTAAACTGTAGGTTAAAAACTGAAATTTAATAAATTAAATTAGTGGACAAACTCCCCGCCTGGATCCGTTTAATTAGCAAATTAATTTGTCGATGGGTTTTTTCTGTGTAACCGCCAGGGCGTGAAAAACCGACGCGAATCCGGACACCTCGACCTATGCGAGAGGAAAACCATTCTCTCGTTGACCTAAATTTCGGGGATAGCCGGTTGATCTGATCGCCGAGGTCGGTGAACTCGAATTTTCGTCGTCCGCCTTTTCCTGAAAACTCCGAGGATTCACACACACCATTCATCGATTATTTTCCACCGGTACATTCGCTTTAAAATTTCGAAATAATCGCCGCGCAGTTCGACATTGCATGAGCGACACAACGTTGATAATTTCGCGAAGACGATTTATGGTCCTGGTGCACGAATGACTAATAAATTTGATAGATATTAAACGGGAATTTAGGTACCACCGGGTATTTTATGCTAACTGATATTGGGCGTATAAAATGCACGATATGTCAGCAAAAATGCACTCTTTTAATGATAATGAAAAGCTTTACACTAATAGAACATTTATTAAAAGTAAGAAAAACTACAAAATTCACACGGGCAAATAATTAAGAAACTTCTGGGAGGATGTATATAAAAAAAGATTCATTAGAATCTGGTAAATAAACTACTCAAGAAATGATGAAATTTATGCTCTCTAGAACCCAATAATTTGTCCTCCAGCTCCAGAAGGCAATATTTGGGAGCATATCACAAGATGAACTTACCTGTCTTTAACGCGCTCCACTGGTACTGGATTTTTATGGAAAAATAGGTAAAAAAATCAGCAATTTTTTATCATTTAATGCTCACAATAGCAATTACAGTTTTAAAATTATCTCTTTTTTTATAATATCTACACAGGGATTGGCGCTACTACGAATGCACGGCTCGCGCATCTCGCGCGTATAAGGAAGCTGCGTTCGTCCTATAAAATTCAGAATATTCTCCAAAAATGGTTAACATTGAGGCCTTAACATTTATCATTGTAATGTAAAATTATGTTAATAAATATAGTATAATTTTAACAGTAACATTTTGTAAATACGTATAAACAGTTTTCACCGCTGAAAAATAACTCGAACATCGAAAATCTATCGGTTAATAAAATAGACGAAGTACCCGCTGATTTTGGAAATTTAATTAGGTAAGCACTTCGGATATTTTACTAAATTTTAGTAAAAAAACGCAGTACTTACATATACCCTGGAAACATCGGAAAATCCAATAGCATAATAAATTTAATTTATCATTATCACGCTATTTTTATAGGGTCCCTAAAATCACAATAAAGACCCTATATTTTCCTATAATCCCACGATATAATAATTAACCCGTTGATGTGGTTTCACAATTTACAATTACTCTCGATAAATATAAAAGATATTAAATTCAAAAATCGTAAGGCATGCCATTAAGGCGGTTCCCGATTTTCGGGGAACAATATTTCTGCGGGAGATTTACGTTTTTTATAAATTTACACTTAAAATCTGATTTACGACAATATAATTACGGTAACATCTTATAATTTTTATATAACATTTACATATCACTGTGTGAAATCACCGACAACCAACTTTTGTATTCGAAAAATATCAACCTCAATATTGTTGGCTCGCCCTCGGGGGTCGTACTAGGGCGAAAGTTCCTTTATATCATCGTCGATTTATTTAGTTTACATGAAAATATATTGTTTATTAACGTATTATCATATTTCCGGCCGAATTCGGCGAATTAACCGGACCCGGAAAATGGAATCAGACTTTTCGGGGGGGTGAAACATTCGCCCGTTCTCTCCCCGAACGCGCTCCTGTAATATCAAATAATTTTTCACTACAAAACGAAACTGTCCTACTTCAGATACTCTACAAAATCAAATAGGCCATCGTATGCGATTTTATCTCTAATTATTAAATTCAAATTAAAATAGTTAATTCCGTCTTTAGTACCTACTTAACTAATTTAAATAATTCTGTAGTGAAAAATAAAACTGGAATTAGCCCAGAGTACAAACAAAGCGGGCTATTTTAGCTTTTTAATGCAGAAAATATCAATTAATAGACTAAATAAGAAGTACAAAGAGAAAAAGTGAATAAGAAAAGAAAAAAGAATAAGTGCACCTAATAAGTAGAGAGAAAAATAAGCGTGCATAAGATACATAAAAGAAAATTTACATAAAATGATAATATACAATAAAAAATAACATAGTAAGAAGGTGCATTTAGGGATAGTTCTTATACCATATAAATGAGAAGCAAAAGAAAATAGGATAAAGAATTAAATCAGAATAATTTATAGATCACCGGTGTAAAATGGAACACATTTGGACGAGTATAAATAATATTAACATGAATCACAGAAGAGAGGTTACAATATTCTGAATTGCAAATTAATTATTTCCTAATTAAGTAAATAACCCACTTTGTTATTAAAATTGAACGTAATTTAGCGTGTTCCAGACACGCAATAAGTACATATTCATAAACCTGTTTAAGTAAATTCCGCGGACCATTTTGTCATGTTCATCGAGTAGTTTTAAATATACAAAAAAATTATGTACTCGGAGCAATAATTCCAAAATATCTACTAATTAATAATTGTTGTTTTTTCTCTAATAATAGTAGCTCGTATTTGTGCTACGTTTCTATCACTGCAAATTTGTGAGCATACCTACGACTTTACTATCATAATTACCTAAAATTACCTCTAAATTAACTTCAACCAAAAAATAGACTATATAAATATAAAAACAATCAACAAAAAATAGTCTACATTGTAATAACAGACGATTCGCTACCCAAAAAATTGCAGGCAGACTTCGTTTTTTTTTCCTGATCGGTTTTTGAGTTGTGTTTGTCGAAAATTACTTGGCAATGTCATCTTTTAAAGGTCGATTCTAATATAGAACGTCTCGTGACCGAAGTACAGTTAAAAAATATATTATAAAAAAACGAGAAAACGAAAAAGGAAGTGGTAACTTCATGTATGACTGGATCAAAATCCTCTAGCTGCATTATCAAATTTCAGCGACTATTATACACCCTAAATTTTCTAACTTTAAATTAAACAATCTATAAAAATAGCCCTTTAAAAAATTTAACGCTACAAATATCATTTAAACTATTCAATTTTAAATAAAACAACTTTAAACTTATGCCAATTGATAGGCATTTTTCAACAAAACAATAACCATAAAAAACAAGCATCGATCGTAATGTACAAAAATTCGAATTAATTAAACGTAAATCGCTAGAGAAAATCAATCGAAACTATGTAATATTCAATTAATAAACGAGCCAAGTATTTCCGCTTGAGGAATTTCTAATAACGAAAAAAAAAATAAATTTTTACTACAAATAATAAACTTAACACTACATGATGACTACATAATGTGTATGTTTTATATACAAATGTTTGGTTGTTTCCTGAAGGAACACTTTATTTTAAATTTCACTGTTATAAGTAAGTTATCGAGTCGGGCGAGCGTACGGTCGACTTCCCACGATGAAAAACTCGAGGAAAATTCCAGCTCCCTCAGGTACTTAGACGTCTTCGTATTTCGACAATTTGTTCTTTAAGATCAAATTTTCTTTTTTCATACGTTCTAATTCTTGACGCAGACCTACGTTCTGCAACAGAAAAATATTTCAGTCATATCACAGAATTATTTGATAGTTCTGTAGGGTTTCCAATGGATTGAATAGTGTATTTAATATTTTGATGGCGGGCATACATTATAAAGATGCAAGATGAATCCAAGAGGATGAAAATCCGAGAGAATGAGAATCCTAGAAAATGAGAATGCAAGACGATAAATCAAGAAGATGAATTCAGAAGGATGAGAATCCAAGAGGAAAAATCCAAAAAGATGAATCTAAACAGTATACGATCCAAGAGGATGTGGATCCAAGAGGATGAGAATCCAAGAGAATGAGAATGCTAGAGGATGAGAATGCTAGAGGATGAAGTTAGAAGGATGAAAATCCAAGATGATGAATCCAAGGAGATAGAACTAAGCGGATCAGAATCCAAGAGGATGAAAATCCAAGAGGACTTCAAGAGGAGAGGAATTCAAAAGGATGGGAATCCAAGAGGATGGGATTGAATCCTGCAAGAAGATGAACCCATTAGGATGAAATAAAACAATGTGAAGAGAATAGAGAAGGAATTTCAGGATTAGGAAGAAACAACAAACCTCTTTTTCCAAATATCCCGCCCTTAGGGCGATCTGGTTCTCTTTCATCCGACGGGCGTCGCGGGACCGCTTCGCCGCCAAGTTGTTCTTCCTCCGTCTCGCCCAATATTTGTCGTCTTTGAGGTCGTCGGGCACGAATTGTTTGCGGGACTTTTTGATGATCGGCTGCGGTTTCAGATCATCATCTGAAAACATTCTCTTCCTTGGATCGAAGTCTCGACAACTCGAAGCCATAGATAACGCTTCAGAAAAAACTGTATTTTAGACATTAGTATTGTGTTACTCGGCACAATGATCAATTTATTTGGAGGCCTTACTAAATTTCTCATTGCCTGTAACAACAATCTAGTCGGGTCGCTTCCAATTCTGACCAACAGGTGATTCACAGGAATTTTTCGTTGCATTTTATCCAGATCATACTGCGATATGCAATCAATAATAAGAGTCACCTAATACACTTATCTAGACATTCCTGTGTTAATCGGAATATCGTAATGTCTAGAGATTTTTCTGAAGTTTAGTAAGGCTTAATTGTAATAAATTAAACCTTTATATTACTACAAAATTCCAAAATTCGTATTGAAAAGTTTAATTTATTACAAACTGTAACCAGATTCGTAAATATACAACATTAATAGATGTATTTAATGAAAAAGTTAAATAAGAACTCACTTGAATCGGCAGGTGATGGTGGATTCATAGTATCGGGACTCATACAATCGCTCGGACTGGGCGATCGCTCTTTTTTGGGTACCGATTGGGAACTACCTAAAGGACCGAGCGAGCTATGGGTACCCAATCCGTCCATCGAAACGCCGTTTTCCGATAGGAACTCGTCCAAATCAACGTACTAAAACATCGTAATCGTAAATCTCTCGTTACAATCCAAAAGTACTCGACCGGAAAAACCGTATGGACTTACCTTAAGGTCTGTTTCGTAAGTCTTGTCCCAAAGGTTGGGGCCGAGAAAGGCCGTTTGCGCCTCCACGGTGTTCCAAAGCTCCCCATCTTCTTTGTTCTTATCATCGCCTAATATACTACCCGCTAGATCCTTGATCGTCGTGTGGCCATGGCTGTGCGTGTGCGGGGGTTTACTATTTCCTGCGAAATAAAAAATAAATACTATTGCAAATATCAAAATTCTAATGGTAGGTACACAGTGAGAAAATATTATCAATGGCTTATTTCAACTCCCTCTTAACTTTATTCGTACTGGAAGTACAATTACACAGAACGATTGTGATTAGTTGCAATATATTTGCATTTGGGACCTAGTCAGAGTGGCTGATACTCTAATAGTGTATGGAATTATAAATAGCATTTATGAGTATGACAAGTTTTATTCGCATTTCGTCGGCTATAAATATTGCTAATTGAAGTTCGATGAGAATTTTTATAAGCAATTAAATTGCGCATTGGGATTAATCGCATAAGAATAGATGAAATAAGAATAATTATTTTCTTAAAATTAATTTACTATTTAATGGTGAGATTGATATAATAAGTAGGTAATCCCCCGGTAGTTGGAAAATCCGATTTTTTTTATAACAAAACATAAATAGGTTTTTATTATACAATAATCTTAATAATCTGTTCTTACTTTTATTACGCTCCTAATTTGACTGGATTTTCTTCATTTCATTTGCTTTACTCTCGCTAACAATTTCATTACACAAACAATCTAAACTGTGCACTATTAATTCGTTATGTATTGTAAAATGACACTTGTCATAAATGAAAATTTAATTACATTTTTCCTAGAAAACACTTCCTACGATTCCATTTGCTGCCCACGAGCAAAATTGGAAAATAAATAAAATAGATAAGCTTGCGAGTTACTGCTACAACGTTATTAATTGCTTAACAAGAATTAGATTTAGAGGCGACATGAACGTGCAGGCATTATTAACAACACTTTATTTATTGCAACTTTCGCAGTTTGTTGATTTCCAACAGGGACGGCTCGGTTTCATATGCAATTATCTTAAAAGGGGAATTCAAAAAAAGTCAAAAAACGCTGCCCACAACAAACGTTTACGACAAAACGAGCGCGGGTCGTTATAATATCCGAGTTTTCCACGGTTCGGGGGAATTTACGACAATTTAAACTAACGCGTGACTACCCATATTGTAAATTTAGCTTTTTATGTTGGTACACGACCTTCGTTCGAAAGGTTTTAGTACCGCAATGAGATGGAATATGTTCAAATCTGACCGCTAAAAAGCATTAGTTTTATGTCTTTTGTACAACCGACTCGGAAAATTTTATTACGAACAAACTTAGGTAGATACAATTTCAACAAAAACCAACTATTCAAAATTTTTAATTAAAATTTTATTCAAGCTAATTGTTATTAATTCGAAAGACTCCATGCAACATTTAATACGAAGTATTGCCGATTTAAATTAATTAAGAGAAAGGAACGTACAGTTTTGAAACAGATAATTCATAAAAACTGCCAATTAAATAAATTTCACTTAAATCAAATTAAATTCATTGTTTATAACAATTGATTAAACAAATTTTAAATGATCTTCCAGAGGCCTTTTAATCTACAATCATTTTTCCCATTGCTAAAACATCTTCCTATAATCAGATTATTCATGTACTATGAACTAAATACTAAATAGTAGCGATTCCTGAATTGCATACAAATTATGTCTCCTTGAAAACCACCAATTTTAAATGTAAATTTAGTATTTTTCAACCAAGACTTCAGCTCGATTCGAGACAATGGAAGCTGAAAAAAAATAGCTCGTCGAGTTCTATGAATGAATTGCACGTATTTATAAGATGCAAATCACTGTGATTATAAATCGTGTTCGAATGCTACACTAGATAATTATTGAAAAATGGATCTAATATTACAGAGACGTATCCGCCGGAACTGCTATGTGGCATTAGTTTTTTGACTACTTAAAGAATTTAAATGTTTTAAACACTTTTAGAAAAATAGGCGGTATGTTATCTAAATGGTGTTCAATATTGAGCAATTCTTCTCTATTGGGGGAAGGATAACAGTAGAGTTTGGGGTATTAAAATCGTCCTGTTCACTCCCTGTTCGGCTAAAACGCTGAGGCTAAATTGCCTTCGCGCTCGAAAAAATGCAAGTGCAAGTGCAAGTACGGCTGATTAGAATTACAAAACGGACTGAAATCTTGAGGCCGTGAATTGCTGTAACCTTGGACGAAATGAAATTCGTGTAATTGCACGTATTACGAAAAAAATAACGTGGAAACTTACATAAAACAAGGACTCTAGTTCAAGGTTTCGCTTAGCAACTCGAAGACAATAATCGAAAAGAACGGATGATGTGGAATAGCAAATGAAATATTTTCCAGTTCGCTGGTTGTTTATGCGCAAAATTAGATTAATTTGACTCAAAATTGTGCAATAGAAAAATCGGATGGGATTGGATAGGTTGTGAACTGGTCCAAAAGCTCATTGGGAACTTTATAAAGCAACGTTGCCAATACATATAAGATTTCCAATAAACTACATACTTTTTGGAAAAGTTTTGTATGTTTGTGACTCTTCGGAGCCCTCGAACCGGAACCAATAGGTAATTTTCATAAATTCAGCGTTTTTATTAGACTTGCTTGGCTGCCAATGTCAAACGTATTAAAGTTTGTCATATTTAAGCATGTGAATAGAACTACAGTATGATTAATTTCGGTCGAAAAAAAAAAGAACACATTTGTTTCGACAGATACGCAGTTAATAATTCCCGCGCAATGTCACAAATAATTGTGGGATTCAATGTTAACCGAAACAAAAATACGAAATAATTTGCCAGAAAGGAAGGAAATCGGTACTTTTGCTAACAATTTTCATAGCCAGTTTATTAGTCCAAAAAAAAGTACTATCACTATTACGCAAAAAGTTGGTATCTACCAACAAACCCATTGATTTATTTACCTACTTGGCTGTAAAACTATAAAACCAATCGACCTATAGTGGATAGATATAATAAAAATTATTCGTATCGAATAATTATTTCTGGTGGTATATACACAGATATTTCAGGATTGCGTAACTATACCCATATTGTTTTTTTTTTCGTTGTAAGTACTCATTGATTTGTGCAATCACTTCCTGATTCCTAGGCATCAGAATTGCACCGCGGAACGAACAAGAAACGATTCATTTCACCCAAAACCAACGCGGTACACTGGTGTAACACGTAACTTAAAAATAATTCATTATTGATCAAAAGTTTTCCGTTTTTTTCTCATTAAACGCAACTTAAAAACGTTTCGTTTTAAGCTAATTTGATCAAGCACTTTTGTCACTATTACGAGGCGCAAGAAGTAGGTTTTTTATACATTAGTTTGTTAAATTTTGCTCCACTTCTTCTGTGAGACGAATTTTCAATTGGTTAATTTAATTTACAATTGCCACCTACTCATCGTAATCTAGTTTTTTTAATCGCGTTTAGCGATTTACGCACAAGACAGTCGACGAGAGGCATTCAAAGTAGTTTCTCTGAGAGCGAAAACACTCTCACTTTCACAAGGAAAGCGAGCCGTCTGCGTCCGTCCCTTAAGCGGGGTTCGACATCGTGCGAAATCCAATTCGCATGGTATTCAATCGGCGGCGTTTGCTCCAGAAATCGGGTCAGCGTCGGATGCGAAACGCATTGTTCAAGCGATTTCCATCGCGAAATGAACCAGGAAGCGCGACGAGCCTCGGCATGATTTACGACCAAAACGATAAAATTCATAGGAGGTTAATTCGATGCACAATTAGATTAGAATAATACGCACCGAAAACGTAAATAATTGAGTTATACTTAACGCATACTTAATTTAATTAAGAACAGTTGTTTCCGACGCCATTTAAAATTCGCGTTACGTAAGGACGTGTTTAAGAAAGGAAAAAATTTAAATGCACGCGAGGAATTATTATTAACCGGCATCGAACGCATATTGGCGTATAGGTATGTCTTTGTTGGTCAAGTCCGATCCTATAATTAGTTTAACAACCAAAAACCGATTGATGTATTATTATTATTGTTATGTAACGTGTTGATATCGATTAAATGGAACGAATCAACGCACCTGTTTTGGATGGAAAGAGTTCGTGCACATGTAAATAATTATGGTTACAATTAATAAATTTATCTTCGAATAAAAAAAAAACGTTTCGATCGAACAGGCAGCGTACCTACTTCCGTAAAATCGTGATATTTTTATTTCCTAAGTACGACTAGTTCTAATTTAAATTTATGGGACTGCTTGATTAAAATTGCATTTCGCAATAATCCGCATAACTGGATATGTGCATTGCTCGACGGTTTGTTCAGGTTTTTTTCTTCAATTTCACTTTCAGGAAGTTGTCGGTCGCTGCGGCGCGCCGTGCAACTGCACTCTTACTTGCCTATCATCGAACCTATTGCTGTTACTATTACTATTACTGTTACCCACTTCTTTGTTACCCACTTGCATTATTACCTCACAAGGCGGTTTTATGCTCTACTCTACTGAACTAGTAGGCTATGCGCGTTTCCTTTTCCGCGTTTCGGCTTCCAATTTTACCATCGGATTTTTTTATAATTAATTTAAACATATTAACGCACAAGAATTTATTGATTCTGACCGGTAACATACCTCTATTTCCTTAGATAGATAATGAGAATTTTTTAGCATAAAATTAATTTAACAAGAGAAAAACTTATATAAAAAAAATGAAATTCTAACTACTCTAAAATATTTTGACCAGCAAAAGTTGCACCGAATCCGTCTCTGCAGTGTATTAAGTAGTACTGTATCCAGGAGTTTTTAGCACCCTGTATATAAAAGATGCATAAAGATATTAATTATAATTACACCTGTTTTATAGATGCAATAAATCGCCTACCTTGCCTAGACAAACATAGGCAGGAAAATCTCAATTACGAACAGTACAAACAGAAGTGGTTAAATGATTAGAAAACTGATTAAAACGGTATACTGATTCTAGTAATTAAAATTAATGAATGACCGACAATTATCTCTATTTAAATTTCAACGTGATTCATGAATGAATTCGAAAAAGGAAGCGCCTAAACATGAATGGATTTATTTTTGCGAACGATATAACTAATTATATTGTTGAATTCAATCTTTTACGACTATAAAATCGTTAAGATCTTATAGAAATTTTGCAAATTTCAAAGAAGAATATCTGAAAACACGCTGCTTAGCAACGACAACGAAAGTAGATAAGGTATATTTTCGCTGGTCAAACCGAATCCAAGAGATTAGATTTAAAATAGAAGATCGAGGCTCTCAAGGCTAACAGCATATCAACGTGCAACTTGAACAAGTCAAAACAGAAGGCTACCATTTGGGTTTCGTTAGAACGAAAATTAGAAAAAAAATGGAGAAAAAAGTCTCCAACATTTAATAGTATAGTCCATTACCTACCTATTTAGCACACAGTAAGTCATTAATGGCAAAAAAGAAGTAAGAAGTTTGGGATATCTTCACAAAAAAGGCTTATACATTAAACATTTTTATGTAAATGACACATTTTAATTTGATAGCAGCTAAATAACTATAGTGCATAGTTGCTATAATAAGCTTTCTAGATGGTTGATTTGGATGAAATCCATCAGAAATCGAGAGAGATTTAATAAATCATTAACGATGTCACGTTCAACTACAAAGTCGTTCACGATTCAACATTGGTAAACGTTCGCCCGTAAATTACAACAAAAGATACGATAAAAACCATGAATCGATTATCCACTTTGTTTGATCGATTGATCGATTAACGCGCACGAAAAATGGCCAGATCTTTGGCAAAAGAATTAAGTAATAAATTTCACTTTCACTTAAATTCAGAACGAGTTACCTTTCTGGTAAGCCGCTATCGAAGGCGCGATTCGTTAGAAAAATGAGACGTTGTTGCCGGTTTTATTGAACATAATGTGCAGTAAATAGCAACATTTATTACACTGCAAATGTAAAATACAACGCCAATGTCTAATAAGTCGTTCTAATGTATATCGTTCGGCCCAAGGATTTAAAAAAAATTTAAGCACACAACTCGAACTACGATCATAAATAATATTTAATGGCCTATTATTAAAAGAAAGACTATTGTTATTCAAAAATCCGCGTAGGAAGTGTTAATAGTTAATGGTAATGTACACAGAGGATGGTTTCTCGTCATCTTTTGCAAAAATTTTGGTTACCTGCTGTAGCCAATAAATTTGAGAAATCTTATAGAAGGAGGATAAATTGATATTAGTGTAATTAAGGACACTTATGGGATATTCAATACCGCGGAAAAAACAATATGCCTATAATACAATACAAATGTGTAGAGAATATAAGTATCGCCTGTCGTAATAAATCCAACGTTATCGATCCTTCCAGGAATGAAATAACCGCAAAACTAGTTCTGAACATCACGAAGACTCCAATAGCCAATCAAGACAGAAAATTTATCCAGTTTTCTCTCAACAACACACCCTGTAATTTAATACATACACAATTGCAAGTAATTAAAATCAGAAATTAGTAGCATTACATCTATTCTAATAGGTTTTTACCAAGAAAAGTTTACACCAGCATCGATAACGTACGTGCAAGTTGTTGAAACAAAGCTAACATAAATAAAAGTCAGTCAAACATTATAATAGTTAACGAAATATGTTAATAAGAATTAACACTTTTTTATTATGTATTTATGAAAGCGAAAGTGTTGCTTAGTTATACAGACAGAGAAAACACCCATTTCATTTAAATGAGGTACTATATCTAAGTAATTATATATTGCCTAATTAAACAAAGAGAAACACTGTATCGTATAAAGGGTGTAGCATCTTTTTGGGACCTACGGATCGACAGGAATAGATTGTAATGCCAAGGTAATATATGCGCAGTAAAAACAAGAAGCTCAGTTGGTTCTTGTCTTGTAGAATTCAATTTTATTACAGATTAATAAGGTGTTTGATGGCGATTTATTGAATTGATATCGAGTTGCATATAAAATTTGCACATCTTGATTCTTTAGCTATCTATTACTGTTGAAAGACTACCGGTATACCACCACAAAGAAAAGTTTCTATTCGACAAATTAATACCTACACGCCTCTATTAGCCTATTCAAATACAGGCAATAAATTTCCACGTAACGGGTGCTAACCGGTCGTTCAGCCGTCGGCTATTCGAAAATTACCTAATATTTTGACGATAAACAGAAAAAATGAAATAAAATAAAAAAGCAAATACTGGTCGACGGGGCTCGGTTTCGTCGGCGACGACGTTGCGAAAAGGAAGTGGAATTTCACTTTCTTCGGCGCGAATAGCGTTGCATCGCGCCCGTTTGTGGCTCGTTTATGTGCGAGTTTGGCTGGTTTGACCCACTGGCGAGGCCGACTCTCCTACTTTCATTTGAGTGGAAGTCTACTTGGAAACGCCGTTACGACATCGAAACTGTTCCGAGTATCTGTGTATCTGTCGCAATGGATTTTAGCACGTGGAAACGGCCAAACTATTACATCAGTTTATGATATCTTTATTAATCGAATCGATGGAATTCCAGATTTAATTCCATGTAGAAAATTACTGAATATACAACATATTTGGAACTCTTTTATATAGCGCCTGTAATTAGGTGCGTTCAGTATCATTTAATCAACATAAACAGAAAGAATTTACCCTAAAACTTTAATTGATATAAAATGAGGTACAATTTTTAATTTTTTTTCTCCCGATTTATGATTTTTTAAAATTTTTTCTCATTTTTCTGCGAGTGTTTATTGATGAGTTACAAAAGAAATTTCGCCTTAAACTTGGCTTTTAAATGCATTTCTTATTCAATGATGAAACTTTTTCGACCTTATCGGATTCGATCCATTGCAACAAGGTCGATAAATTACTGACGTGTTCGAATTAAACATGTAACATTCTTTTAAAATACCTCAATTTATTTTCGTTTTCGCATGCCTGCGAAAGGTAACTTGTCTATTAAACGCTTTATAATAATTATGTCTTTCAAAATTGAATTATTTATATACCTTTATACCTACTTGCGTGTACACGAAAGTACTGCTGCTATACGAGCGACAGTAAAATTAATTGTATATTATTTAGGCATACTTTAGGAGTAAATTTAATAATTTGTGTTACTTTTCCACGACTACCTACAATTCCTTCAATGCCTATAAAAATTAAAACTAACAATAGACGATAAAAACTTTTGTTGACTTTTGTTTCAAATTGTAGTAGATAATTAACCCTCTTATTGACTAAAATTTCAATTCAGCGATCATCATGTAGTCTCAAATTCAAAGATTCCAAGTGTTTCAAAGATAGATTTACCTCGTTGAATTTATTGTGTAAACCTATTCACAATCTCTCTAATGCTAGATGACCGGCGTTTAACAAACAAGCATAGGTAATCCAGTTGGTGATTTGTAAAAATCAAATAGAGCACATGTAAGAAAATGTGCTCACGCTCGTCGGCTTTCTCGTAGGTCGACAAGCCGTTCGATTTTACTATTCAAGTCACACAAACACAGAAATGCATTTAAAATAGAATTAATTTAATCATTCGTTCGAAGGAGCAGCAAATTTCTAGACAACCCTATGTAGAGATCGTGCGCGAGATTAACGTTTAGAATTTATGAATACGACATAAATATTTTTTAACTACCTAATTGTAGTAAATGTTGCTTAAATATCAACATCATTGTTCAGTTTTATGGGAGTAAAGAAATATTGTTACTATTTAAAATATTATGTGTTTCATTGTAGACACTTTTCCCTAATTTACCAGGCACACGAAGAAAATCCGGTCGAGATTTGGCCCAATTTTGAAACAAGTGTACCGGTTTTTTGCTCAATACCCGCTAATCAATTAATTCACTTTCATTTTTTTTTCGTTCACACATTTTTGCGTTAATTACAATGTTTTCGTATTCGAAACTGGTTATTGAAATTTGGAACAAAATGAATAATCATCCGTCGAGTACTCTTTCACCGACGTTTCAGCACGAATTTTCGACGTGCCTTACGTAAGATGCATGCGTGTTTGTGTGCAAAAAGTGGAAAAATTGCATTATATGATGTTTACGTTTCCTTCGACTTTTACCGCCGGATTAAGTGTTTGGCAATAACGAAGAAATTTTAATTTCTTGATGCCATTTGCATGAAATTTGCCATTGCAGGAAATGCTATTAGTATTTAAAATTAGGTAAAAACGAGCGCACAAATTGAGCAATTCAAAATGCGAGCAAATCGAATTGGATTTCCTTATATTCTTATCCTCGAGTAGAATGTTTTCGCCTCCGAGCAGAATCCGAACGATTGGAATCACAATTTAGAAAACCATTTAGTATCGTTTCAATACCGTATTGAAATTTAATTGACATTCCATTTTATTCGCTTCCCATTCTAGGTCCCTAATTGACAGATTAAAAATGACTGATGGCTGTTCTACCGTAATGTATGCGTTATATTAGCCGAGTTGATAATAATTCAACGACACCGACCAACTTCGATACTTTAATTTATAATCATGCATTAAATATACAAGGCGCGTGCGCTAATATAAAATAGGTACTACCGTTTCCCACAATCAGTACTATCCCGATTTAGCACATCGAAATTTTGATGCATTGGAATTCATTAAAAAATCTTTTAGCATAGTTATTTACATTATCTCGAGTACATTTTAGTTTTAAACAATTGCTTGGGCTCTAGGCATGATGTTCATACAATTATGTATCTAGTAAGTGCACTAATAAACTGGAGGTAGATACTTAGATAAATACGAAAAAATTGTGATGAAAAGATTTCAAAATACGATTATGATGAAAATATCCACAGGATAAATTAAATCGAAGTATGAAGGTACTTACGATTGGTGCATATGAAAACTCGTTACTGAGAAGACGTACCTGGAACAAAAAAGATTTATTAAATAATAAAAATCAACGAAAATCACCAATATAAATTAAACGAAAAAAACTTAATTAATATTAGTAATTGTTTTGAACAAATATCTTTATTATGCTGTATACTCGGTAAGCAGCAATATTGCGAATCCCTCCTCGAGGTAAATCTAAATAGAGATGAATAGACAAACAATTATCGGTTGTATTCATATACTATAATATTAACGTCAAAAAAAGTTGTTGTCCATGAACGGGAGATGCTAATAATTTATAACCAGTTTTTTGACTCTGCTAAGTATTGCTGGTATGCTTGAAAGCACGTTTAGTCCGAGCGATTATCAGCTCCCAAAGTCTTCAAGAAAAGCCCCAACAATTAGGGAATACTGAAGAAAATTCTCCAAAAATAATAAATTGTAAAGAAAAGTGTTCATAAGCAGCATAAATACTAGAATTACTAGGACAAAACTTATGTTGTAACTTATTAGAAGAGAAGAATAAATATAGACACATTTTAGACATTTATTTTAATAATGAGAATTTGCTTCCGGACTATAACTAAGCTCGCTTGATATACATACAATATTGAATACCTGCGGCTTTGTCTAGCGAGTCTAGTACTGGCAGGTAAGTTAATCTATGTAAAAAAAATCTGCTAAGAAGTGGTTGAGAATCGAGAATGCCTAGACTGTCCTGCTGCCGAAGGTCGCACCAAGGTGAACGAATTTTTTCAAAAAAGCCTGCAAATGGCCGTCTAAAACTCTGCAGAATACTTCATTAAAACAGAGTTAACAAATAAATAGACCCGGTAGTCGTTATTTTTTAATGAACTAGGATATATCGGAACTAACCGTAAAACTATAATTTTCTATAAACGCGATAAAATCGGGTACTAATCGCAATCTACTAATAAAAAATTATAAAGTTCGTTTTACTAAAAAGTAATAATTATTAGAAAACTATTAATTAACAGTTATCACCTTCGCTTTAAAGAGGAAAATTCTTATAATGTAATTATTCTTCATTTTCACCTTTAGATAAGGATTAGGTAAACTGTGGCATACTCAGACCTTATATCTGAGAGATAATAATACCAACCCCAAAAGTGTAATTGCTTCGATCAAAATGGTACAAAAGTAATTAATCATCTACGAGTAATCAATGATTTTCGATTAAGATTATAAGTGCGATAATCCTTAGGCATATTAATTAGGTAAATTTTAGTTTTCTCGTTCACACGCAATACAAAAACAACAATGTGTCTTAAGTATACAACAAACGCAAAGTACAATTCATAAATATTCACTATGAGAGAATAAGAAAAGCCGAAGAAGCGTTTTTAGGCGGAAAAGAATAAGCAGCTATTGTGCAACAATTACTTCATCGGTGTGTCTCGGCGTTGTTGTCGGCTGTAACACTTCGCCTCGACAATTACCTACTAATACTAATTGCACTTTCTCTCCGCGGCGGATCGAAAGAACGCTCCGCCACACCGGCTCGAACAAACATTTACACGCGCATTGTTCGGCTATGTTCTTTTGCAATTCCTTTTGTGGGTGAGCAATGGGAAAAGATGATTAGCAATCGCGCGTCTTCCTGATCCAATTTTTCCTAAACCTACGCTAATCAAAAGGTAATTTGATTTATTAGCATTAGAAATACTTATTTCCTAGCATTTTACCTTCTGGTAAAAAACTCACAATAAGTAAAATAAATTAATATCTTATTTACAATTCAACTGTTATTATCTCCGTTAAACTCGAGGATATTTTTAATAAGCGATTTCCTGTCACTGTTCTAAGTGTACAATAATTTTGATCTGATCAAAAGATACGTATGTACTTGCGATGTGACTGTCGTTTGTGTTTTACGCAAACAATGAATGAATATACCTTTATATGGATGTGAACGCGTCCATCAATCTTAGACAATGTTACATGGATGAGGGACTAAATAAAATGATGGAGATTAAAAAAGCATCTAAAGAGGAGGACACAACTGATAGCTTCCTTGTACACCTACACATATCTGATCAAAAAATCAATGTAAAATAATTAAATATTCCTAAGTGTCTAATTAACATGTTCATATACTTTACGCACTAAAAGCAAATTGTAATAGATATACGTTTTGAAGGCCGGAAAGACCGTTTTTGCATAAAAATTCCACCATAAATCCACCTAACTTTTTAGAAATTCAACAAATATTTGCCGATATCAGATATAACGTAAAGCGTACGTCAACGGCATAATTGTTGAGCAATTAACGTAGGATTAAAACAGAAACCGGGCCGGTACGGTTCTGTGCTCGTTCTTCATGAAATATTTGGCCCACTGAACTCATCGATTGAGCGAAAATGAAAGTGCTTTTGCACCGAACAAGACCGACGTATATCGCAACAACGATAATACACAGTCCGTACGTTCTTCCTAGTTGTTTTTTAGTCACTACTATAACCGATAACGGTTGGGTAGACACTCTAATTATTTACATCGTTTCCACTAATCACTGTTGTTGTGATAAATCGCGTTTTGATCTGGAATCGCTCGTTGATTGGGTTGAATATTTAGGTTTGTATAGTGAGTACAATACAGTCGTTTGTTTTACAATCGATAAAATGGAAGTGGGAAGAAGAGTAGTTAAGATGTAAAAAAATACTAATAATTACAAGTACCAATAAGAGCAAAGAAAATTAATTGAAAATATTTTCTTTGATAACATAAAAAGTCATTATTGTAATTGAGTGAATACGAAGTTATTTTTGTTAAGAAATTTACTTAATAGTCACATAAATGAACCATTTGTAATTGGTTTGGTTTTGTGTGAAATAAGTATAAAACGGTTTTCTGGGAAACGCATTTTTTGCTAATATAAAAAAAACCTATCGTAAAACTCGATTTTCTTGCTACTTTTACGGTTTGTCGTTCAATTAGCGTTCCGTAATGAAATATAATTAGTAGATACTAAATGGGATTCCCCATAAGCACAACCGCAATATCGCCTTTACAAATCGTTCACATACAAAAATCAAAATTATTATTGATTACTCGTTTTTATGTCATCATGAAGTATTAATTTCATTGTTTAATCTAATGAACCTCTCTCTCAATCTCCCCTTTTCAATTCCTTATAAGAAAATGGTGAGAAAATTGTCTCCATGTCGTATAATTGAGTAATTTCTCGAAATGAAAATGACTTGAAAAATGATTTGAAAATTTTAATTACTGACTCGAAAATGACTTAAAAATGACTTGAAAATAACTAGAGAATGACTTGAGAAATTACTTTTAAAATTGTCTTGAATTAATAGAGATTATTACCTCGGGTTTTTCATTCCCCTGAGACTATTAGGTCGTAATTTGAAAGATTATAAAAGCATACATATTAGAGGTACCTATGGAGATTCGGCAACACCGCGAAAAATAAAACTGCGGTGTCCCAATCCCGGAAGAAGTTCGATTCTCGTGGCAGTTTGGAGAAAGTTTATCGGCTCACCGCGAATCGGCAAGTGGAACTAGTCTCTTTCTCTGTTAGGAGCTTGTAAATTTCATTCGAAACCGAGATGGATACAGAAATCGCTTTCGACTGTTTTTGTTCTTGCGGCGATGTTGCGAAACGCCTACTGCGATTCGGTGGAGTCGACAATGTTCGAAACCGAGAGGAAAAGATCGCCATATGCAGGTAAATGTCGAAGGTTTTAAGGTATTTTTAATCGTTTACACAAAAAGTTTAATATTAATCGCCATTTGGATGAGAGATGTTGGTTTAAAAAATGGTGGAGGCGCTCTGTTCCTTCGCCATTGTTAGGATTAGGGAGATTTGTTATTGCATTTGCATGAATTGAAATATGATACGCCGATCGTTTGTAACATTTTAAACATACACTATTTTCTGACAAACATGGTAATAAAATAGAACACCACAATGGATTTGTTTAATCCACAACGTTGGCAAATCGGTCGTCCTTCGCTTCCTATTCTCTATGTTACAGAATGAACAATGTGAGGTGTGTTAAACCGACCTTAAAAAACGAACAATTCGAAAAAAAAATAGACACAAATCGACTAATCGCTAAAAATTCAATGCCAGAGAAGCAATTTTCAAAACACGATTTTTCACAAATTTCTAAACTACTATACACTATTTATTTACTCCCATCATAGAGCGCAGTTAACTCGCATCGTCCTATTTTTAGTTACCTGCGATATTTTTACAGAAACTAATTTACAAAAAAAACCAAACTCGCTACTCTCGCAGATTTTAATCAAACCCAACAAGACAACAATAATCGCTCATTGTAAACCTACATGCAGGGGAATCGTTTGGATGCAATTATTTCGCGAACTTGCTTTTATTATTGCGACAAGATAAAAATCTCGGACGGAGATGAATTTTCGGCTCTTATTTATGCAACGACATCAGCTTTCACTCCGCCGAAAAATAAAAAAAAAACGATCGCACTCCTACCCATATTTGACATTTAACTTTTCCAAATGAACCGCAAGAGGTGCTCGACATTAACGGCCAATCGACCTCGTTTTTTTTTTTCGTCGCGAAAAACAAAGTAAACTTGACTTAATTAAGGAGTTAATTAATGAATCTACCTATATTTCCATATAGTTTACTTTCTATACACCTCCGAATTTCACAAGTGCCTTAAATCGCACAATATAAACATACCTTTAACAAATTTTGGAGAATTTAGAAACTCGTATACTTGAGATAAAATTTGTTAGAGCTAGGCAAGTAAACACGAAAAGATTAGCAGTTTTATTATATTTTCAATCCAATTGCAAATCTACTAACTAAAGGAAATAATTAAGCGCTAATTACACAATGCGATTTTAAAATGGCTGGATTTTCTTCGGACGTTTACTGAAAGAAACCAGCAGGTATTTCAGTCGTTTGGAAAGACTTCTTCGATTCTCTATCGACCTTGGCGATTCTCTAGGATGCACAACTAAAAGTTTCGCCTATTCGCCTATTCGATTCGCGTCGTCACGTTGAAGATCCCGTACAAAACGATCGTTTTATTTTATTTCCAACTTCCCATCTGTTCGGGCGACGGATATTTAATTATGCGAAAAAAATATCTATTCAAGGCCGTCGGTGTACAGTCGTTATATAGTTAGATAGACGTTTTGTAACGCCGGAGTATTTCCATTCCCGGATTTTTTATTTTTTTTTCGCTTCGTTTTCAGTTAACAAGTTAGTCTTTATACGAGTGTTTGTCACGGTGTAATAAATGGTAGAAAAAAAAATAATTACAGTGGGTGGTGGTGAATGGTAAAATTTTTTGGAGAAAATGTCTCGGTCTTTCCACGTCGATTCGCTGCCGATTTCAGGGGTCATTCACGTCGAAAACTGAACCGTCACAGATATACCTCTCGTTTCATAAATGTAATTTTACGGTGCTCGTTTAACACTTTCTTTTCAATCAAAAACGCGCCCGAACTCTGCGTAGTAGGTGCCTTGCACGGAGCTTAACCTTCGCCAAATTTCAAATTTAACGCGCGCGTAATAATGAAACAGAAATTTAACGCGCGTGCCACAACAACAATAGCACTCGGTTGTTACATGGGGGTCAAAAATTGTGAAGTTGGTCAACCAAATTCGGTCAAATTTAATTTAGAACTAAAAATCCAGAAAATTAAAAGAAAAATCATAGTAATAGTTTTCTTTTTACGACATAAAAAAATTAGAATTTTTTTTTAAAAGGCGTCCAAATGGCTTTGCCACACAATACTTGGAAATAAGGATTTTTTATCAATGAAGGGCTACTTTCCTAATTTTTTCTTATTTTGAAATTCTTGAGGATTTAGCCTTGACCTTATGTATTAGAATAAAATTTGTTACTACAAACTATTAACGAAGCCAAAAATATATCGCCTTCAATAAGAATCCTAAAAAGTGGAAAAACATCATTTTTATCATATAAATTTCGATTCAAAATAATGATCATGAAACGATTTTATTCCATTATAATACCTACATAATTGAAATAATGAAATTTGTTGGGGGGATAATTAATTAATATTTAATGAAAGTATTGCAATATTATTAACAAAAAAAATTTAAAAGTGGGGTAGGGTTTTGAAAATATTTAAAGAAAATTGAATTAAAAATTGATCATATCTAATTTTTAATTAATTAAATTAATCTCATATTTGTATTATATTTTTTAATTAAAAATATATTAACCCTTACGTTTTTTGTAAAAATAAACTCACGATTCTCTCAAGTTAGGTAAAGTTATCCATTAAAAAAAATGTACATCTCCCGTCTCCACAAAAATGATGATCACAAACCACAATTTACCAACCAAAACATCAAAAAAATAAACAAAAAAAACCCTCCACCGTAAACGAGACAAGTACCGTTCATATAGACGTGCTGCCTCCACAGCTGCTGGTACTGCGTCCATCTCTGCGACTCGTCCTGCTGCTGCGGCGCCTGGACGTGCGTCAGGGTGCCCTGCATCACCCCGACGGGCACCTGGTGGCCGAGCGGCGCGCCGTTCGGCGCCGGCGGCAGCTGGTACTCCATCTCCTTCGCCGGTACCACAAAACTCATGCCTTAACACATGCTAACTGCCGCACACCCACTTAGAAAAGCCGAAAGTTCGTACTGTACAACCGATAATTTTCGCCGGTACGGGTACGCACGCACACCTGAACGCTCTTCTGCGGTACGGTACGACCGGAGAGCGACTGGACGAGGATGAGGATCGAAGCTCGGACGCGAAGACGGGGGGCGACAGACGTGGGGGACGGCCAAAGCTAAACAAAATAACACTCTCGGTTTCGCAAATGCCGGAAACGATAGCTCGACTGAGATGGACGGCGATTTGTTATTGTTCTTTCTTTCTCCTCGGCTCGGACGCGCGAACTGCCTCCTGCGATTTGCAGGAGTCTCGCAGTGGGAGAATCCAATTTTTCTGAGAGCGTTCGTGTACTTTACCAACATTGGGGCTTATATTACTATCGTGCATTTTATGATTTTATGAAAATTTGTCAGTTTGTTTCAAATTGCACAAAAAATAGAAAAGGAAATTTTTGTGTTATATACGCACTCTTCTTAAAAATAATTATTACCTTCCATTACATATTCGTACTAAAATTACTATCAAGCAAAATTGCTTCAGCTACATAAAAAATTACTCAATTAAATCAAGAGCTTTCATAAAGCGTTATAAAAAAATACAATGTTTCCTGTGCTATCTCATAAATACACGCCAGTGACATTCCCCAAGAGTAGCGTTTATTGGAAAATAAGCTTTCCTTTATAGGGGAAAATTGTAATATCATGTGAGCGATTTCTCCAAAAGATATTTAGATTAAATTATAAACGACAATCCCTAGGGAACACCTCTTCGCTGATTAAGTGTTTTAAGAAAATTAAATTATTTTTGTAAATCGCCGAGGTTCGTTTCTCCTTTACGGATTTATTACCATAATGTAGTCCGGTTTAACGCCGGGCCTTTATGAATTATTAAAATTATCTCGGAGTAGTTTTGCATAATGCTTCACAATATGATGAAACCCGAAAGAAAAGTAAGCGGAGAAATAATACAATTGAACAAAAAAACGATAATCACGAAATTCCATACCAAACGATTTTAATTCAATTGCGTCGAAATATTCATTTCTGGATAATAAATGTTGAAATTTGGAATTTACCTGCATTATTGAAAAATCTCTGCATCGACGAAAACCCGTTGGCTTCGTAGAAGGGATTGGGCGCGTATTGCCTGCCCCAAGGGGGGTGGCACTCCGCGTTGGAGGTGCTGGGGCTGGGCCGCCCGTTGTAGAAGCGCTCGCACTCCTGTTCAGGATAATTTATGGATAAATATCCATAGTTGTCCCGAGGCCAAGCAGTAGCCGCAATTTTAAACGTCGTCGAGATTCAGATGGTTTGAGAGCGGTTTTCTTTGGATTTGTTTTTTATTTAGAGTGTATACCTGCTGAATTAAACGGGCGAGAAAAATGTTTTAAACGATTGTTTTGTTATTAGAATAGGTACATGCAGATATGTACATATTTTGCAATTGGTTTGTAAAATGGAATTTATTTTATTGACAATGCACGAAAATTGTAATAAATAAATTCGTTTAAATGGGAGGATAACAAATAATATAGAAAGTAAAATTAATAATGAATGAAGAAACAATTTAATTAATAACAATTTAATGTTTCGGTTTTGTATTTATTACTGAGAAAAAAGTATTGTAATATTACATAGAATTCTTTTGCGATTTATTTTTATATATGTAAAATAATGCAGTAATGTGACAAACACTCAGTATATTTATGTCTAAACTTATAGTTTATTATAAATATAATATATTTTATTTATTTTATTATAAAATATAATAAAATTTAATGGTAAAATAAAATGTTTAATATAGATATGTATAATAGAATACTTTTTTTCCAGTGATAAAAGAAATAATATAGAATTGCTAAAATAAATAGAATTTTAATTTTAAAAATATAAAATTTTGCTTTAGAAAAATTTAAAAATCAAACTTTAAATAAAAAACATAAAACATTTTTCTTTAAAAAATTTGAATAACTACAACCCGATTAATTTATATTTTTATAATAACCGTAATTGTATCACTGGAATGTCGAAACTTCAAGTTTAATATCCACCAAAAGGAACACCGAGTCCTCACCACCGGATTTGTCTGAGAATCGCACGAAACTAACGTACCGCGATCGTCGGGAAAAAAGGGTTGCGAGGGGTTGGTTACGAGCACACCGGGTCGCACGTGGACGGGATCCTCTCACGTTGTACTGCAACGTGAAGGGGCGCCCGTGGCACATTCAATATACTTTTCAGAATAGAACGTATAAGCATAGGTACAGAGTGAGGTTAAAATTATGGAATAAATTCATTTTTTCGAGAATAGGCGACTTTGGACACAAATCCCAAACCAGGTCGATTTTTATTTTTATTTTTTCACCAAATTTCAAACTTCAAGGTGCATTATTACCTACTATACTAGAGATATGAAAATACATTTGACCGTTTTTCCAAAAAAATCAAAAATGATGTCAAATATGGTACTTTCTATTTGAAATAACGAAGTTGCCATCTACTTCCGGTAAAATCGGAAGTCACATATGGTTAAAAATATTTTAGAAAAACTCACAACATTGATTAAGTATACCTTACTCCTAAAGTTTTAGTTTTAGTTAGTTCTAATGGACGGTTCCTTGAAAAGCACTGTATAGGGTGGATTCTTTGCTTATTTAATATACTCTGTAATATTTGCTGGTGTATAGTTTAGGAGGAATTGTTGGGGGGTGTTTAGGCCAAAACCGGTACGCATCTCGGATTAATATGGCCATTTCAAAGGCTCGTAAATTATGCACGTCTCGCCATTTCTTTCCGTCGAATAAAAGTGAAAGTCTCGCGAAACGTAGGTATTCCGTACGCGAACGTAGGCGTCTGGTTTTCGACGCGACTCGTCCGTCCGGCTCGAACCGCTAAAAAACCGCTCGCTCGCCTCGACTCGCCTCGAATCGCGTTTCACTTTCATCGGACGCAATTCCGCGGGTATGCCTATTTTCTCTCCGTCGGCGAACTTTTGTTGTTAAATTACATCGGTTTTTCATACTCACCTTCAGCACTTTGGCGGTTTTGTCCAGTTACTTTGCGGCTATAAACCACTTTATTACTCTTAATATACCTACTCATTACTTATAACAGAATTTTACAGCTAAACGTACCAAAGTTAAGAAACAAATTTAACCCCTCATTCTAAACAACTTAAATAAACAATAAAATTAAAGTAGAGGTAATGAATTACCATTAATTTACTTTACCTACTTACTTTACGGTACTGTCAAGGTGTCAAACAAATTAATGATCCTTACCTGAAACAAAAATAAATAGTTATTGTATTGGATCGGAACAGGTGCCCAATAATGCGATCATGCGTCGGCCTAATCGGCGTTTAAGAGATCGCTAGTAATAAATATGTCCGTGGTGGATTAAACGGGTGTAGCAGTTACATGAAACATTAAATTTATAATAATTGGCGTTAGGTGAAATTACGTTTGGCAGCGAAGAGTAATTTTCGACTTGGTCGATTTCCAAAACAAATAAAAAGCCGGACACTTTTTTGGACCTTCCACAATTCATATACCGGGTGTTTTGTACCATTCTAATTATAAATTATAGTTCAACTTTCATTACTTATCAACTATCAACAGTTAATTAACATTTTAGTATGTAGCGCTTAATAAACGAGGTTCTTTATTGATGTAGTACCTACCTATAATTGATAAGCTAAAGTTAATTCGAACGAGCCATTGGCAAATGCGTTAATTAATAATCAATCAAAAGAATAAAGAAAGGATATAGAGGTATAACAATTCGACGTCGGCAGGACCGGTAAAACGACCGTTATCCATGAGTAAGTCGGTTTCTCTGTTCCTATCTGAATAATTATTTAACACGACGATGCTACTAATGTAACTCGGCGAGTGAAAGTGAAATTCGCCAACTAAATATAGTAAAAACGGTGGAGGAGATCGCGAATACTGTGTAAAATCACAAAATCGCGCTCGTTTCTCCGCTAGAGATAAAGCGAATAATCCTTTTTCGACGCAGTGCCAGTTTCTATTGCGTAATTACTCGGATATATGACATCAATCTTCTTCTTTTGCTGGTTATTCGAAATCGACTTGCAATTATCAATTATCCATGCTTTAAATCTTTATGATTGTTAAAACACAAATTTTCTCATTTACAAAGGCTTGATCTAGCAACCATACAATCGTCCTTGATTGTCCTGACGTAGGTTAGGGAAGGGTTTCTTAGGGTAGGTTCCTTTACTGATTATTTACTTGAAATCCACTTAAATTTTCTTTATGGTTGTTTTTACAAATTTTCTCTTTATCAAAAGGCATAATCAAGCAATCATACAATCGTTCCTGATTATCCTGGCGTAGGTTAGGGAAGGGTTCCTTAAGGTATGTTCCATAGAAAGCCATACCAAGCAAATTGTGTGGACGAATAGCTACTTTACTCAAAGAATGTTCTTTGGGACTATTATAACTACAGCACTATAATTCATAATTTTTAAACAAAAAGCATTGAAAAAAAGTACTGTTCGGATCGGTTTATTGACCCCGGTCGGAAACGTGCGGACCCAAAAATGGTTAATTGTGTGCGTGACGTCAAAACGCCAGCGAAATAGAAAGTGCGTGAAAATTTGGTAATTCGGACCCCGACGTAGCGTAGCGGCGGCGTCTTCGCGCAACAGTCACCGTACGAAATCACTTTTACTTATTTTTTTTCTCCAACGAATCCACCGACCACACCGTCCGAATTCTTCCAAACGCGTATTTAATATGCAGAATATGCGTTAATTTCAGATTGCGATTTTAAGGGGTCCGCTTACACCATACAGATGATGTAAAAAAGTTATAGGGAGTTCTATTTGAATACTAGGTTACTAGATACCTACTAAATATCCTGGCGATTTAAAATAAACTTTTACTCTTCTATTAATGAGCAATATGTTCAACATTCTGCTTAGAAATTAAACTTAACTAGAATTAATTAATTAGCTTCAAGGGTTGCTTTTAATTAACACATGCCATATCGATAAAACTGAATTAATGCGTTGTTTATGGCGGTATTGAATGCACCCAACGATGTATGCAGACCCGAAGGTTTTCCCAGCAAATTAAACACTAATACCACAAAGTAAATACCGATTATTAAGCGAAATTAAATATTAATAAAATTGCTAACCGTAAGGGGATATTTGTTTATAATTAGCGCTATCGCGAATTCACATCGAGATGAGATTTAAATTGCATTTAAATTTTTCTCATGATAGCGAATTTGTTCCTGCGAGCGAATCCTACAACAATCCTACATACAATAAAATCGCCGATTGATAGATGAAAATGATTAAAATGAGGTACGTTTGCGATAGACAAATCGAAAAAGCGCTCTTTGTAACGCCGGACGAAAATTTTATTACGAGCGCTATCAGTCTTGGTTATTGGTCACATGTCGGGAAACGCGCGAAACGGTCACGTGGAAGGCAGCGCGACGCCCATGCGGTTGCCGTGGCAACAGGAGATGCTGGTTACGCGGCGTCGCTGTCAGATCTATCCAAATATCGTTTGGATTGAGACAAGGATCTAAAAATACGAGCCGTTGGCAACTACTAGAATCCCGCTGCAAACGACCGTCAAAACGGATTCCTGCTGGGGACGGTCGATTCTAAAATCTCGCCGTTTGGGAATGCGAGAAAACGCGTGGCAACAGCGGACCTCGGCGGTTTTAGAAATAAACGTGAGCATATCAAACTGCTATTTTCTTGTTTTTATTAATGTAGGTCGCACGGAAAGAGTTCGAATCCGCAAATATTTGCAACAATTAACTGCTACGTATAGGCAATCAAACGCGCAGCATTGTACGTTGGTAGTTGTATAAACTCGGCATGAATGAAGAGTGAAAAACAACTTCGAGTGTCACGTTGGCTGCAGGAATTTGAACCAGAAATCGCAAGGAAATTTACCGGCATCTAAAATTAGTTGAAAGAAAATCTTCACATACCACATCTCAATCCAAATTCCTCCTACGTACACTTTAAAAATCTATATAAAGCTCATGAAGCTTCAAAAAAGCTCATAACATCTTTCATTTATATTCTTATTGACAGATCAGAAATTATTTTCCTGCAAGCATTATCACCTACTGCACAATTTACAAAATAATTCATTCCTGCAATTATTTTCCTTTGTTCATACAACAATATTTAATCACACAATACATAATACATCTAAATGGCCATTACAAAATTAACATCTTCCAAAAATCCCTGCTAAACAAAGCGGATTCAATTGCAAAAATCCATCCTGATCATTGCTCAAGCACCATGCGTAGAGCATTTAGCCGCGAAATGCAGCGAACGAGCGATAAGCTGCCGCCGATCGGCTCGCTTAACTCCTGCATCGAGTGCAAGGTGCAGTTGCAATTGCATTCAACGTCAGAGCATTCGGTGGGATTTGATTATCAGGACAGCAGAAATTAGGAATTACCGCTTCGGAAAAATAGGTAGAAAGCGCATAAACGGCGCTGTTGCCGGATCATCAGAATTATTGCGACATTTGCTGTTGTAGCTCGGGATTAACAGCACGTTGACCGGTTAATTTATATTATTGCTTTGAATGAAATTCGTTAGGTCAATTTATAAATAAATTTTGAATTTGAATGCATTAACTGGCGGCGATTTGCAGTCGCGATTCGGCAACGTTCGGCGCAATGCATGCGAATAACGAAATGCAATGAACGTATTCCTGCAATTTGCGTTAAAGTGCAACAATATGGCTGCCTCCTCATGTCGCCTTTAGTAAATCATTAAATTTCGCAGGGAAGTGGGTGCATTTGAAATTAGTCCGATTAATGAATGATTGTTGAAGTGCATCAAAAGTGGTGTGTTCTATCGATTTTCGAAATAATTGGGGATTTACATGGAAAATTGTGCTGCTTGTGGGTCAGGAGAAATTTGCGCAGGATCCATATTATTTAGTGGTTTTTTCTGTTTTGCTTAGTTTTAAATAATTTTAAATTTGGTGCTTGTGTTGTTAATGGACAATTGAGAATTATAAATGTTCGAGTAAACACATTCTATGAAAAATAGGAAAAAGAGGACACTCCATGACAAATTATAGGTTGGATGTAACAGGAATAAAGAAATCAGGAGGTATCTCAATTTCTTGATATTGAAAATAAAATGTGTTTATTCAATTACCTACCTAATAAAATAATATTTGTAAATAAAATTTTAGTTTGA